CAGAAATCGTGAGAAGTAGCGGAAACCTTCTCGGAAACGAGCATTCCGAAGAAAATAGACTATCGGATTCACCATCGAATGCATCATTGCCAAGCCATGGGAAAACCACCTGGAACACGACAACGGATGTAATCTTATCACGAAATCCGAGTTGTGTTTATGTTCTAGAATTTGAAAGGAAATGCGGCTAAAGGGTTACTGATATTGCCATACATGAGCGTAGTGCTCGAAAAACACGAAAACAGGATCGGGTCCCGTCCATATCTTGTATATATTTTGCCCTTCCACGCAGCAGAAAACTAGAACTCATTTTTTGACCTCATCAACCACCATCAGCATGAAACGCAGCTGCATAGCCCCAGACTTGAGATTAGCTGTGACCAGCTTAAATGGTAGTAATGGTCAGCTCTTCCTCGCCTCTGTTTGCTTCTATTAATTCTCTACAAAGAGGTGGAGCACCGAAACCGATGTTACTTGGGCCAATATTGGCTTTGCGAACATGGCAATCGAAGGACTGCGATAGTGTATAGGTGCAGCATGGAAGTGTGTATGTACGTGCGATAGGGCCAAAACCTTTCTGTGCTCCGCCTCCACCTGCGCTGCGTTCACCAACGCTTGAGCCCCTTCCTTGGGTTGCTAGCTCGTCCATTATCGGAGGTCAACGGGCAAAGAAAGGGGTCCTATACATTTTGCGCCTTCTTGACGGATTTCTCTTGCTTTTTTGCCACCGGCGTTACTTGGCATCCTCACTTTCGCTACAATCCCATCCCAAACTTATCGTAATCCCTCGCTTTATCGTGAGCTGCAACATTCATACTCGGAGGAGGATATGTTTATCATGTGCAGTTGACATCTTCTTCTAAGTATTGTGGCTGAACGACTAGGCTACTAAAGGTTCTTCTGCATAAACATGATAGATGGATAGATGACGTCAACAATGCAAATGGCTAACAAATACGATTAGCTATGATTCGTTACACATTCGAAGACTATGCCCAGCAAAATCACTCGATAGTCAGTCAACACTACATACAGCACATATCGCGCTAGGTTGTTTTTGAAGTGTAGCGAAATATGAAAATCTCGAGAAGCTCTTCTCAAGGGGCGTTTGAAACAGGGTGAGCCACATCTAGGTTTTCCGGGGCAGACGTGGGTCGTACAATGTTTTAGGAAGGTATGGCATTTGACAAATTGACAAAGGACCTTTGAAAGTTGCTATGAATGGTACCAAGTTTTTAATGCAAGAATTTGCCGGCACTGTGGCAGAGATAAAAATTTTAGGCACTATTGCACTATTACAACCCCAGTGGGGGCCGAGATGGGTCAAAAAATAATTTTCGCTGAAACTTTTGCTATGGGGGTTATCGAGGGTCCTGATCACGAATATGACATCCATTTTTGGCGCTGGCGCCAAATTGGCGCCATTTGGCGCCAGCTGGCGCCACTACTGATTATCACCAAATTCGCTGTAAACTTCTGAATAGGGGTTATTTGGGGCCCTGATCACGAATATGACACTGGTTTTTAACATTCGTGTTGTTTAACGCATATTTTCTGTTTTCTAAGCTTTCTCACCTATGGCGCCTACGACTAAGCTTAGGGGAGGGGAGTGAAACTCCGGAGTGGGTAAACCACGCACCGTGTGGCAAAAGTTGGAGTGTGTTAGACCACAGGGGAATGGCCTACTCACTTTGGAGCCCTCCACTATTCAAAGGCTTAGTCCTATTGCGATCTAATTAGTGCGAGGGCGCAGACGAGCAGGAAATAGGCGCCGAATAGCGCTAACAACAAAAACGAATGTCATATTCGTAATCAGGACCCCAAATAACCCCTATACAGAAGTTTACAGCGAATTTAGTGGGAATCAGTCGTGGCGTCCACCTGGCGCCAAATGGCGCAAATTGGCGCCAGCGCCAAAAATGAATATCATATTCGTGATCAGGGCCCTCGATAACCCCCATAGCCGAAATTTCAGCGAAAATTATTTTTTGATCCATCTCACCCCCTCTGGGGTTGTAATAGCTCAATGGTGCCCACAAATCTTTCGGATAATGAAATGGGACGACTCCAAAATCTCCGGGCACGTGGATCACGCTGGCTCAAAAACTGGCATTGGTGGATCAATGCGAAGGCGGAGTGTGTAGGTGCAAATGAGAGGTATTATTTACATGCAGTAGTGAATTCACTTGGTAATAGCGGATAAACCCTACATCAGTCAAACCCTTTTAGGATGTGCCACGCACTCCATAATGTCTCCATTTCAAGTCATAGTAATTCCAAGTTGAACCAAGTTCAACGCAGTTTGGCCTATATGTACATGTAGGTTGGGGCATATGCATATGTAGGATGGGGCGAAATTGCTTACGCATCAATTCTTCTGCTTCATTGTATTTCGTGAACAAACAATGAGCATATTCACTCCTCTCATTAACATGAACATTTGAAAAATAAGAGGCTTCTTCGAAAGTCCTATCGCATTCTGTGATGCACTCGGCCATAATGTACTACACGCACAAGCTGCACACAAGAAAGTTCAGGTAGTTCGTCTCAGATTTTAACGGTATTCGAGCCGCTAGGTTCTGTCAATAGGGTTGCCTTAATGTGAGAGTATCGTTCTGCGTTTGAGAGGCATCGTTTTACAGTATACGTGCTTCATACCGGTCCGGAGGGTGAGAGCCATGGAAAGATTCACATGGGCAAATGGTCTGATCAGTGGTTAGGGGAAGGATGGAAGAACGCCCAATCCGAGTGTCAAAATCATCATCTTAAAGCTTAAACAATCCACATATACTTGAGCGCGGTGTTAAACTTGCACAAAGAAACGAAATAGTAATGCTCTGGTAAATCGTTTCAGGAGCCAATTCCGTGGATTATTGGCTTCAAAAAAAGTTGTGGCATGGAGTGTAGACGGCGCGCGCCCGGGGGCTTCTGTGACAGACAATGATATGCATGGAGCACGCAAGGGCAAGAATGGTCTAGTGGCTACCAGGAAGGTCTTTCAGGGCGTGACGAGCTTTTTGAAACGGTCTTTTGCATGATATAGGGGCAGATGCGGGGACCACAGAACCATGTTTAATTTTTCCTGAACGGCCCTCTGAATACCAGAAAAGGGGGTCCCTAGTTCGATTCCTCTTGGTGACAAATTTTTGCATTTCGAGTTGACGTGCCAAAATTCGCGCAAAATGGAGTTAGAACCAACCAGAACAATCAGAACTCCATTTTGCGCGAATTTTGGAACGTCAACTCGAAATGCAAAAATTTGTCACCAAGAGGAATCGAACTAGGGACCCCCTTTTCTGGTATTCAGAGGGCCGTTCAGGAAAAATTGAACATGGTTCTGTGGTTCCCGCATCTGCCCCTATATCATGCAAAAGACCGTTTTCAAAAAGCTTGTCACGCCCTGAAAGACCTTCCTGGTAAGCTAGGCTCTCCAACTTTCTTAATGTATTATTGTGTTACGGAGGAGGAAGCCCAGCTGGTTCTGTGAACCCTTGACCGCTCGATTGATTACTTTATTCTTTTGCGGTTTGCCGTTCTTGAATTCTATAAGGAAGGTTATACAAGTCTTCATATGAAGATTGGCTCGTAATAGGCGTAACGCTTTTGTTTTAGAACCAGCCTTTATAAAGCGTAAACATAATTCCGGCAATCTTCTGCTTAGGGCGCCGCATGGTACGGAGGGTGTGCCAAACGTCTCAGGGATTTCAGGGAGTGCTGAAATTTTTGGATGGTCTGGTTTGTAGCAAACGATATTCACCCAGAATTGAACTGTGGATGATATTTTGTGAATGAAATCGAAGCATCGATGCACAAGAAAGCGTTTTTGTCTTCACCGACGCGTTTGGTAAGCAGATAGGTGGGATGCAAAATACACAGTATAAATTTAACGGGATTGTTTCCAGATTTTTTGAGGCCTTTGGTAAGGGACTAGCTATAAAGTGAACCAAAAGGAATGGGAGTTGCCTTATGAGCTTTCATCCTTTCTCTTCGCATGTTTGATTGAATTTTCGTCGCCGATTGCGCTTTAAAATTTATAATCCATAAGTGGAGACCTCAGGGATCACATATAGTGGACGAGTAATGGAGACGTTACTTACCATATGTAAAGGATGAATTTCCAGCTGGCCACACTTGGCCAAAGATCGATGACCACGTTGATGAGAAGCAAAAGAGGCAGCCAACAGAAGGCAAACATGGCCGAGATAAGAATCACCATTGGAATCAACTGAAAGAGTATGATCGTAGCAACAGGAGACTCACGAACACGGATACGTACCTTTTTCACACTTTCGTGCCGCTCCATCACCACCTTCTTCGTCGTCAAACTCGTTGGTCCAGGAATTCGACTGTTCCACATTTTCATTCCAATGAATGTATAGGTGATGATTAACACCGTGAGTGGCACCACATATTGCAGCACCAGGATAAGGTACGAATAGAGTCGACGGGACTAGAAAATGCAAAAATGGAAAGAGAAAACGGCTAAATTTGAAGTTTGCAAGGAATTTTCCAATCTTTGGATAGAACAGCTGGATTACATGAACATAAACTATAAAACTTTCAACAGATGCCATCTCCAGGCATCTCAATGATTTATTTTGGAAGGCTTCCGAATCTGGTGAAACGAATGGAGTGTTCAGAGATATTTGTATTTGATGAAATGGTTGAAAAGTGGACTAAAAAAGAAACAATATCGATCGTGTATTCGAACTGTATAGATTCTATGATACAGGGTGGCTACTAAATATTGGCGCATGGATTGTTGACCATATTTTTAAAACGAGAAGCTTTTACATCTTCAGAGGTTTATCTTTATATACCTTATAACATGGCAGTACATTGCTGAAGAAAGTGCTCGAAATGGCCTTCTTCGGCAGCGATACAGGCTTCAAATCTCTTCTCAACTGACATCACTGTGGGCCGCAAGTAGCTGACGTCAAGCTCCTTCCACGCCTCCTCCAAGGAAGCCTTCAGGGAGTCCAAACTTCGACGTTGCTCAGAAGGCATCTTCTGCTTCAAGAAGCCCCACACCGCCAAATCAATTGGTTCAAATCGGGCGACTTAGATGGCCAAACATTTTGTGCCGGTAACTTGGAAAATGACGGTCACAGTTCTCCAACATTGATTTTGCGGCATGTGGAGGCGCCCTGTCTTGCTGAAGAATGCAATGACGTTCGCTGAAGGTCAAAAGAGTCCTTGAAAGAAGGGCATCACGTGAAAATTGTTTCCGGGTAGATCTGGGCGCTGGCTTTGATGTATTCATCCACAAAGACAAGCGGTGTCATGGTTTCAGAAGTAATTCCTGCCCAAACCATGACAAATTTGAAAAACGGTTCCTTGTGTGTACACAAGGTCGAGCAGAATGTCTGCTAGCCAGATCCAACAACTGCCTGTCGTTTTGCAAATCGTGCGCCTTTTCTGGTCTGAAGATCTACTCACGTCACGCCGACGTCAGCTACTTGCGGCCCACGGTGATGTCAGTTGAAAAGAGACTTCAAGCCTGTATCGCTACCAAAGGAGGCCATCTCGAGCACTTTCTTTGGTAATGAATTTTCATGTTTTTGTATATGAAAATAAACTTCTGAAGATATGATAGCTTCTCTTTTTGGAAATATGATCAATAAACCATGCGCCAATATTTAGTAGCCACCCTGTATTCAAATCATCCTACAAATGTTCGTGGCTGGGAATTCGATACGCGCGAAGGAAAGAAATCAACAGTTTCTCCAATTTGGGAAAACGCTCGATCGCTCTCGCGTAGTTATTTGATAAAGGGATCGATTTCCAAAATTCAAAAGAAGCATTGAACGCACACGGATTTTCCGAAAGAGTGAGCTCCAACAAAACACACACACTCAAGATTTTTTTACTGAACAATTGTCACATATAGCACGGATCTCACGGGAGACAGAAAAGAGCGAAAAGGTTTTCCGTTACATACCAAATACATAGAGGCTTACAGCCAGTACAGACTTAGTTTGTTCATCACAGGACCTGTTATTATCACCAACTATCATTTTGTCACTTGTATTCAACTTTTGTCACTCATTACTATATACATTTATGCAATGTTGCTAGGCGATGGATTTATGCTACAGCGGTGGCCAAAAAGGACCCTTCACTCAAAACGGAAATTATTTACGCGTTGCGAAACCAAACCAAATGATCCCAACTGAATATTGAAGAGCATGTTATAATCTATCAGCAGGCTACACAACAGCCTTCTACACCGACGACATCAGAAGATTTTCCCACGGAAGCATTGTGCACGGTACGAGCTCAACGAGGTCGTCGAGATACCATAGACGATTACGACGTCTCTGAAACGCTGGTCAAAAGCGGTTTTGCACATTCACAGCTAATGTCTCTGGAAGCTATTCAACAATTAATTCACTGAGGAAATTGTGTAGCAGCTTCAGGTCGGAGCGATTTCGGTAAGCCTCGTTGAGCTCGACGGTGACGGCAGATGACGTCATATTCTGGAGACGGCAGGGGCAGTGAAGGAGTGCTTGCTTCTGTTTACGGAGGAACAACTAAGGAATATAACGCCATAAAACTTTCATTAACATCGGCTCCCTGTGTGACGAAAAGTTCGATGATGTGCGCCATGGGCTAAGTGTCTCTTTTTTGGCCACCCCTGCAGTTTCGCCTTGAGAGTGACGCGTGACTGTGACGACTGCACTCAGCTCTCACATGACGTGTTAGCTGATTGTTTTAGAAAGCATGACCATTTTCTGTCTCTTATGTATAATCAAAAAGTTTATTTGATCTTGATTTATCTATGTGGTTATATAATATCCCAGATGTTACGAGTAGATCTTCATTAGACACTCTGAAAACTTGCTAACCAAGCTGTTTCCTGTAGACCATTTTTGTGAGCCTTAGAAATTATCCAAAAAATTTAAACTCAATCGGAAGGTAGAATTAGCAAAAATTTGAAGCGACCGCTAGAGGAACGAATAGTAATGTGCGAAAAATCATTTCGGCGATTATTTTGGCTACATAATGCATAAAATATACAGGGGGGGGGCCAAAAAAAAAAAGACATTTTGCCTCCACTTCCAGATGGATTTAAGCACATTTTACTCAACTCAGACCGAACGGTTCCAACTTATTATTAAAGAGTGCATTCCATTCTATAAGAAAATCTTCATAGTGGCCACGTACGTGGACGGCATCAGAAGAATTAGCCCTGGAAACATGGTGCACTGGTCGATCTCAATGGGGTCTTCGAAGGATCGTGTACCATAACGACCCTTACTGGAAAGCTAGTTCCGAGGGGATTTGCACAGTGGTAGCTAATGCCTCTAGAAAACTATCCAACATTAAATCGATTCACGAAATTGCGTAAGAGCTTCAGGCTGAAGCTCTTACGGTAGACCTCCTTGAGCCTGACGACGGTGACAGATGACGTCATATTCTGAAGACGGTGAGGGCAGTGAAGGAGAGCCTGCGTACACTAATAGAGGAACACTTAGGGAATACTCTGCTGAGGAACTCCCGTCAACGACAGCAATCTCTGCGAAGAAAAAAGAGCCGAAGTCCGACATAGGCAAAATGTCTTTTTTTTTGGCCCCCCCCCCCTATATATGTATTTACGTCAGCGACGCTATAAAGACTATGGATGTTTCTTAAATGGTGGTGTTTGCAAAATGTGCGAATGGTTGTGTATTCAGTATATACCTTGAAAACAAAATTTAAGAGCGCTAAATAGATGAGAGCGGTGTGGGCTATTGTTTACTGCTACTGAATCGCGGTGAAGTTAGAACACGACAAATGGTCTGAAGAGAAAATTGGAAGGTTGGAAAAATATTTCGTTGTCGAAAAACGCACACATCCTCCGTCTCTCTTGGCAAAAATTAAACCTGCTCTCATCTAAACGATTTTAGGCGGCGATAATTAAGTACACACTATGCAGCAGTGGTTCTCCCTCACAAAAGCATGCGCATTTTCGTAGCGTTTGCTTTTTGTGGGGCTATTCTCAGAAACTAATATTAGGTCGGTCCATAATTTTTGAGAACCTTTGGTGTTTTTCGATTTATTACTTATCTTATTTCTCTGATGTACTTATTCAGCATAGTATACATCACCATTATTACCAACATATAACCAATGCGAGGGTGGGTATTCAGTGTCTCTCTTGTAGAATTTCATAGAGTTCTGATCGAAGAAATATTGGATGTCGATTTTGACTTTATGGTGATTCAAGTGAGATTTCTTCTCCAGAAGGTGATTGAGAGAGGAGAGCGGATAGTCGTTCGTTGACGCAGGATTAGTGCTACAAGGCGGAGCTAAAAGAACTGACCGCCCGAGAGTCTCCAATTTTTTAGGAATTTTCTTAGCAAGGCGGGCTCGAACGACCTCAGAAAAAATAGATTTTGTCTTCCTTTGCTTTCAAGTTGAAGGCGTTGCCATCAAGCTGTCAACGATTCTTCCCATCACTGACACTGGTATTAGTTGATGCCGGTCTTCAGCGCAAAGGCCCTCCCGTATTGCGCCAACGACTCAGGAAGTTCGAATTCAGAGGGAGTTGGGTTTTACTGTCAGAACTCCCGAATCGTTTGAGCAAATCTACTGCGGCTCGTGGATTTGTTAGCACACTGCACCCAGTCCACATCACCAATGAGTATTATAGATGGTCATCCGAAGGAACTATGGGAAACCAACAGGAACTTGATGATGTCAGATTGGGTTGAGAACTGATTCGGGACTACAATTTTCCTTCGATCAGAACTCTATGAAAGTCCACAATAGAGGCACTGAATACCCACCCTCGCATTGGTGATATGTTGTTAATAATAATGATGTATACTATGCTGGATAAGTAGATCAGAGAAATAAGATAAGTAATAAATCGAAAAACACCAAAGGTTCTCAAAAATTGTGGACCGACCTAATAAAAGGAAGTTCTGAGGTTACCCACTGGGTCATCCGCGCGGACAAGAAGGGCGAGTCAGCGGACGAGTTGCGCGCGTACTGTAGGGATTTCGCGTCAAGTTAAATAGAATGTTCCATTGTACGTCCTACATCGCACATCACGCGCTGCGACTCGTCCGCGACTCTGCCTTCTTGCCGCGCGACGGGCCTCCTGGGGGGTACCCGTAGTTTTCTGCAATAGGTTAGTTACATGGTGATGTACTTTAGCATACAAATTTTACGTTATTTGAATCATGCCTATTGTTCCGTATTTATCTGAACAGCTTTGCCAAAGAGAACCACTCACTCCTGGTACAACAGCCTCTACAGGGGCCCAGTCCTCGTCACATCGCTTTATGCCATCGGTTACATGTATCCTCGAAACGAGAAATAGCGGCAGCGCCATGGATCTGCTAGGGCCATGGATATGCTAAAAATGAGTATTTGAAAGACATTGAGAACGAAGAAAAGAAAACAAACCTGAAGGCCCACGTCGCTAACACAAGATAGACAGCTCGTTTTCGGGTTAGTCGCATACTTGGTGACATAACAAACATGATTGCCATCCATCGATCAAAACTACAATTCGATCAAGTTGAAAGGAATGAAGCGAAATCGAAGAAGGAGGAGACTCACCTGATCACGACTAATGTCCAGGAGCTGAGAAACACTGCGATTCCTTGTAAAAACGAAAGAAGGCTGCACATTGCGGAGCCGAACACCCATCGCTGATCGTCGAAGATCAGCACTTGCCAGTAGGAGAACGGAATGCAGAAGACGGCAATCAGAAGATCAGCTGAATTTTCAACGCATTTTGACCACTTCTAGGCATTCATATTTCTAAGCTCACTGATGCCTATTCCGCTCTGAGAATACTACTAAATGGAACAGTAGGATGGTACAAATACAAGACCGGATTTTCAAACCGCGTTACTTTCAGCTCCGGGTGGCAGGTGGACCTCTCTGGTCAGCATCTCTAAAGGTTCGTTCTCATCTTCCCTCCATGACATCGCTTTAGTAGTTTACACCCTGTTGAATGATCTTGTAGGTTGAAATAGTGTTTGGACGGGTAGTTTCCTAAATGGCTTTCGTCTTTTCCAGGCTCTGAAGAAGGTGAAAGCACCGAAACGTCGGCCTAATAAAAGTTATTGTCAATCTTGGTTGGAAGCTTAGCAACTACGCTCTCATATTCTGGACTATGCCAAGATTTATACAAAGTCGAACTTGGACGATACAAACACAGTTTTGACTCTATTCACGAAAACGCCTCCAACCCGACGACGTTGTAGAAATTTCACTGCAATATCTTGACCCATTGGCGGCTGACGCTGTAATGGGAGCGGATCCAGTAATGTAGGGTCTCATCCAGTAAGGGGGGGGCATGTGGTGCGACAGTTCATATTGCATGAAGTAATCCACTTTTTCAGGGGAGGGAAGCTCCGGGGTGGGTGTAAAAGTTTAAGCGAAATGGTTCACGCACCCGGGGATTCCCTCCCCTTGCAAAAATTGGAATTTCTGTAGCCGGCAAGAACTGTCACACCACATGCCCCCCCTTACTGAATGAGACCCGTAATGTATATATAAATCATTTTGGAACACGAAAATACGCTAAATAAATTGAGCAAAACCAGTTCGCTACCTGTGCAAGTGTGGTGTGACATCATGTCACACGGTCGTCAACAACGCGACGCGGTTGTGCGTCCCACCAGAGTCACCGTTTTTTCTCGCGCTTGCGCGGCTTTTTCCCAAATTGTTTGTATTTATTCCATCGATCACACCACATCTAACGATAAGTGTAAACGACACGGTTCAGCGTAAAATGTTTGCCTCAATTTAGCAGAGGCTTTTCATGTGATACAAATCTCGTTTTCTTCTTATTCTCATCACCATGTAAATAAAGAAGATTGATAGAAATGGATACAAACCTATACGTATAACAAAATTCAGATTTTTCTTGGCACAACCAACGGCGACCAAAACAATTTTGAGCTGCTAACTGTAGTGAAGAGAGTAATTTGTTCTCTTATCATTGCACATTGTTTTGCGATCACAAATTTCCGCCATTAACCCCCGGACTAACTTCTACGTCATTTAATTACTAACTCTTCATTTTGAGGCTAGTATATGCTGAGATGGTTTGTGCCATTTTGCATCGCTTCTCACGTCAACATTTATGTGTGAGGTGGTGGGGTGCGTGTCAACAGAATCGTCCGGAGACCCGCTAGCTGAGTTCCGTGGCCGCGACGGCGCGGTGGCGGTGGACGAGTTTCTGTAAGCGTCATTCTATTGTGAATGGTTAAAGGGACGCCAAGCCGACTCGTCCTTTTTGCTAAAATCTCAATCACGAAATTCCGATTTAAATAGTGTCTCTACCGGCTATATAGGCACGGCAGTTAATAAATTCACTCCAAAAATAATAATGCAATTGACTGCTAGAATTGTGCATAGCATTACGACCTATTCATTTTAATACTTAACTAGGTTTGGTTCGCACCTAAGTAAAGGTCGGCGACCTTAATTAGGTGCAAACCAGACCTAATTAAGTACAAAAAGGTGCCGCTTCTACGAGAATAATCTTGGAATCATGTGAATGAAGTAGACCATGAAGAATCATTGCTCCAATCGTCAAATTCGAATAAGGCGCGCCCATCGAAAAACTGCCGCGTTACGACGCCGCGCAAGTGATCGCGCGCGACGGCGTCACTCCCCGGACGATTCTGTTGACCGCCGCCCGAGGTGGTGCGGCCGCGTTCGCAAAATCGCGCCTGCTCCATGCGGTCGAAAAGTTAAAATTAGTCGTTAACATGATGGCCTAGCCGACATTGAGACGCCGTTACGCGTCCCACCCTTGTCAACCCTCTTTCTGGCGCACTTGCAGCTTTTCCCACGTTGTTTGCATTGATTCCTGTGGATCATACATTAACGTAACTATAAACGCCGTGTGGTCCATGGAATGGTTAGATGTGTTTGAACGCAGAGCTGCTGAACCTGCTTGTTTCAAGCGCTTTGAGAGTTGAAGGTAGATCTTGAACCAACGCTCTGTGCAGTCTCGGATGCCGTCCTGACTGGCCCTCTCAGTTTGTCATGCTCTTTTGAGTGGCCCTCGTTCCCTACTCTACTCCTCCACCACTTCCACTACAAGGGGTGGCCAAAAAAAGAGACACTTCACTTCAAAGTTCAGCCAGCATTAATCACACTTTGCTAGAATCAAATCGACTGAACCCAACTTAGTATTAAAGAGCACACTCTAATCTATCTAAATGTCACGTGACAGCCTTCTGCACCGACTACATCAGAAGATTTTCCCACGGAAACATGGTTCACGGTACGAGCTCAACGAGGTCGTCGATGTACCATAGGCCATTACGACCTCCCCGAAACGCTGGGGTCTTGCACAGTAACAGCTAGTGTCTCCTAGAAGTTATTCACACCAATTGAAGAAATCATGTAGCAGCTTCAGGCCGGAGCGATTACAGCAAGCCTCGTTGAGCTCGACGGTGACGACAGATGACGTCATATTTTGAAGACGGTGGAGGCAGTGAAAAAGGGCCTACTTACGTGGGAACATCTTAGGAATATTCCGCCATAAAACTCTCATTAACATCGGCGCCCTGTGCGACAAAAAGTTCGATGATGTGCGCCATAGGCAAAGTGTCTCTTTTTTTTGGCCACCCCTGTATATCCCTCTGCATTGTTTCCGGCCCCCTTGTTTTGCCGTAATGTTATCACTATCCCGCTCAGAGGGCGCCCACAGGCTGTTGTCGACATCCTACTCGCCAACTTCTATTGTGCTCTTGTTTCGCTATTTCCAGAGTTTAGCTGCGAAAAACGCACTTTTGTGGACAAAGTGACGCGGTTGCGCGTCTCAAAATAAGCGCCCGCTAAACTGCTTGTGTCTCACGTAGCCAAAAGCCAAAAGGCGCGCTGTCGTCAGTTCTCAACCAATGTACGCTGCAACTATACAGGGTGGTCCAAAATTATGAGGACCAAGACATTGTGTCGTTAAAAACGCATAGTAGCTTGATGGAGCAAACAAACTACAGGGAAGTGTTTGCAACTAGTATCTCAAAGTAATTCCAGAATAGAATTGAGATCTGCCACCTGCCGCGTTTACGAGCCTTCAGACGAAGGGGCGCGTGCGGTGGCACGCAACTGAGGCGTGTCAAAATGTTTCCAGGCCTTCTGCTCTGCTTTCTTCAGGGATCAACGTTTTTGTGGGGCATTCATTTACCCATGTCTACAGGGTGTGAAATACAGAATTCTAGAGCTGTTAGGTGGAGGGTTCCATTGTAACAATTCTTCGAGAGCAACAAACTCGAAAAATAGCTTCTTAGAGAATTTTTGCTCTATTCTTGGGTGCTCGGTCCAGTAAAACGTCCCAAGTATGGTACTCAAGTGGCTTCCTATCCACTATAGATGTGGAGTCTTTAGAGTGCCTGGCTGGGTTTTCACATCAATTTTTTCATTTTGGGAGTACGAAAGTCGACAAGGGGAGAGCAAGTTTCTGCATCTGATAATTGTCCTGGTGGTAACTGTAACTTTCGAGTCCCCGAATTTTCCATCTGTGGTGGTTCCAAACTTATTGAAGAGTTGAACTGTTGCCCACATGAGCTTTCCTGATACGTTAGACTGCCGCTAGATGTAACGTGCCAGAGCCCTTAGTGAGTTCAATTTGAGGAATGACATAAGGAGGTGTTGCTCTTTCACTAGTTTTGAGAACTGCATGAAGTTTAGTTTCGAAAGGAAGAATACACTGTACCCTATCACATGGTGCACAGAAAAGGAAATGAAAATGGAGCGACTCGGAAAAAAGTGGATATGACCGCGCGCGCACGCGGTCCTCATAATTTTGGACCACCCTGTACATTCCCATCTCGTAGCTACTGATAGGGTCTAGTTCGGCATGGGACTCCATCTATGCCAATCTGTGCTCGACGACTATTTTATTTACTTGTTGTTTTGTACGTACCATAGGCATATAAAACATTAGCTTGAGCCACCGAAAATGACAGTAATTTAGCTTAGTGCTGATAAAAGGATGCACTGGAAGAAACACTAGAAACATATTGGGTTGGTGCATAATAAAGTAGCGTTTTTCTTTTCGCAGTACAATCTAGAGAACACAAGTACTAACCAAAGGAAAACACACATACCTTTCGCAAGGGCCTCGTCTTCCCCAACACTACAGTGCGTTTCAAAAGTATGTGCACAGACCTCAAAATTCGCGTTTGAAAGGCAACCATGAGGTCTCGTGCTATGAAATCCTTCTCAATCGATTTCTCGTAGTCGATAACCTATCAATGGAAGCAGCAAACGCATATAATGTATGGCGCCCCGGACGAACATTCGCCCTCCGACTTCCTCTAACGAATGGATTTTCAGGTTGCGTGTAGAAATTTTCCTTCTTTGTGATCTAGTCACAAGTATGTGATTTTCGACGATCTTATCTAAGAAAGAAAAACAAAAACTGAGATTGAGATTAGAAATCAGTGGGGCCTCCAGAGTTTCTAATTAGCTCAAACATCCTGTCCGGCATAATCTGAACCACGTTTGGCATAGCTGTTTCGTCGCTGTCGGCCCAAATAGCCTCTACCGCCGCCTTCAGTTCATCCGCGGTATTATACTGCCGGTTGCTAAAGTTAACGCCTTGATCAAGGGCTCCCTATAGGGTTGCAGTAAGGAGGACACACAAGCCAATCTATCGCTTCAGCACCATTTGGTTAAGGCCATTCTTTGGTAGATTGCGAAGCATCGAAAGACACGTGGTCCTGTTGCTAAAAATGCAATTTTCGCTCCGCTTCGCTAAGAAAGGGCAACAGGTGACATTGGAGCACTGCTTGGTATTCTTTACAGTTCATACGCAATAATGGAACGGCAACTTCTGAATTTCCGCTGATTGCGAAACCGCCGCAGACCCATCAACGGGCCTCTTCCGAAATTCCTTCTCGAGAGCACGAGCGACTCACGGCCAAGCCTCTCCAGTAGTAGCAAAATCCACCCGGCCCGTCAAGATCGAACTCTTTCCATGAGTTAAGATTACCTGAGGAGAGAAAGTCCATAAAAAGTTGCTTGTTTTGAAAATAGGAAATTCTCGAAAAACCGTGTCTTCGCCCGGTGTCCTATCCTATGTTGCCATGTCTGTACGAGCAGACTCCAATGTGGCTAACTTGTGCTGGGCCTTGAAGTGAGTAGCCTTCTCAGCGTCTGTCGAGTGGTGTATTCATTTGAGCGGATGAGGGGCTTAGTGGTCATTTTCGAGGCTGGAAATAAAAATCTGAGCTCGGACTGTCAATGAAGAATCCGACAGGATGTGGGC